TTGTAAGACTATTGAATCACAGACCTGTACCTCTGAAACAAATAATACATTATGTGTTAAAAAAAAGATAGTAGGAAGGGAAAAATGAAGTGGGGGAAATCGGAGGGGGAGACGAACCATGAGAGACTGTGGACTCTGAGAAACAAACTGAGGGTTCTAGAGGGGAGGGAGGTGGGGAGATGGGTTAGCCTGGTGATGGGTATTAAAGAGGGTACATATACTGAATAGAGGGAGCACTGAGTGTTATATGCAAACAATGAATCATGGAATACTACATCAAAAACTAATGATGTAATGTATGGTGATTAACATAACATAATAAAATATATAAAAAAAAGCTTTTCCTCCCCACTTTTGAAAGGAAGTAACCATCTCTAAGCAATTGACCATATGTGTGTGCTCCTCTTATTTTTTTAAATAATACACCCATATATTAAAGACAATGGTGGTTTTAAAATAACACATCTCTATATTATTTAATAACAATGTGGGTTGGCAATTTTATTTTTTTATGTCTGAATAATAAACATTCAGAGTGTGAACATGGAGAAAAAATAAATAAAAACAGGCAGAGAACCTGAATAGACAGTTTTCCAAAGAAGACATACAAATGGCCAACAGACACAGGAAAAGATGCTCAACATCACTAATGATCAGGGAATGCAAATTAAAACCACAATGAGATAACACTTTACACCTGTCAGAATGGCTAAAATCAAAAAGACAAGAAATATCAAATGTTGTTGAGGATATGAAGAAAAAGGAACCCTCATGCACTGTTGTGGGAATGGAAATTGGTGTAGTGACTGTGGAAAACAATATGAAGGTTCCTCAGAAACTTAAAAACAGAATTACCGTATGATCCAATAATTCTACTACTGGGTATTTACCCAAAGAAAACAAAAACACTAATTCGAAAAGATATATGCACCCCTATGTTTATTGCATTATTTACAATAGCCCAGATATGGAAGCAACCCAAGTGGCATCAATAGATGAATGGATAAAGAAGGGGTGTGTGTATAACACACACATACAGACAGTCACATATGTACGACGGGATATTACTCAGCTATAAAAAATAATGAAATCTTGCAATTGCAACAACATGGATGGACCTAGAGGTTATAATGCTAAAGTGAACTGAGTCAGAGAAAGACAGTTACCATGTGATTTTACTCATATGTGGCATTTAAGAAACAAACAAAGGAAAAGTGACCAAAAAACCCAGACTCTTAAATACAGAGAACAAACTGGTGGTTGCCAGAGGGAAGGAGGGTGGGGGGATGGGTGAAACAGATAAAGGAGATTAAGAGTATACTTATCTTGATAAGCCCTGAGAAATGAAAAAAAAATATATATATAATTGCAGTGATGTTGCTCTTTGCTGTTAGTGGATATTTCTTCATCATTATAAGGCAATTTTTTAACAGATACAATGAAAACTTAGCAAGCCTTTTATGACCAGTCTACCAAGATGGACTTAGCGGCAGAATTAATCCTCAGCAGATTGTTTGCTTATCCATCTAAAAATTGGCTGTGGGCACCTGGGTGGCTCAGTTGGTTGAGCGACTGCCTTCGGCTCGGGTCATGATCCCGGAGTCCCGGGGTCGAGTGCCGCATCGGGCTCCCTGCTCAGCGGGGAGTCTGCTTCTCCCTCTGACCCTCGCCCCCCTCATGTTGCTCTCTCTCTCTCTCTCTCTCATTCTCTCTCTCAAATGAATAAATAAAATCTTTAAAAAAACAAATAAATTTGGCTGTGCATTGAGACCTTTTGCAATGCAAGGAACACTGTCAACTTAAAAATATTATTTCTAAAGCCATTTTAGATGGAATTATACTTTTTAATAAGTTAGGAAGATATTGTGTTTATCGTCTTCTGATTGGAGTTTTTGATGCAGTTAAAAGTATCCAAAAGCTTAAATGAATATTCAGTTAACAAAACTGATTTTTGTGCTTTGGCTACAACACTTTCCTGAAAACTGCAATTATTTAGTGTGGTACAGGTAAAGGCTGAAGCCAAATATGAGTCACTTCTTCTTTAGTTGCGTTAGAAGCCACCTTTGGACCTGAAATGTTACTGGCACTTCTCTTTCTTTACCTCTTTGTCACTTTCTGATCAAAAGCAGACCTCTTTTTTTTTTTTTTTTTTTAATTTGGAAAATCCAAAGTATTTGTGTCTGGAGAGAGCAGTAAAAGAAGAACTGTAGGTGCACAAGGAAGACCAAAGCATGTCCTCAAGTCAGCTGAGAGCCTCCTGTGTTTTCCCTGTTCCATTTTGTCTTTACATACAAAGCCAGCTAAAGTAATTGCTATCTCAAATAGGGTTTTATTTCTTGGAATTCAGCCTGTTAGCACAAATAATCCCTAATAAGTACGAAGCTAGTTTAAGGCTCTAAAACAAAGCCAGAGTTTTCTCTCTTGTATCTCATCATCTTGGCTGATTCTGAAGTTGGTAGACATGCAGAATGTTAGAAACAAATTACAGATCTATCTTTTCAGATTCCAGACCTATCATAATCTTTTCACTTTGAGAAGCGAGCTCTTAAGAGAACAGAAAGGTCCAGTGTTTGACCAGGTCCTTTTTATTCATTGTCCTGACTTCATCTCCCTCTGAAGTACCTTTAACTGAGATGCTTCCTTCCCCCCCCCCCCAACATTTCAGTAAAGGGAAAATAACTCTGGAACAGCCAGGGATGTAAAATTTATTGGAAAAACACCAATTGCCTTGTCCCTGAGGGGCAGTGTGTGTAGTTAGACACTGAACCACAGGTTTCGTTTTTGGCAAGAGAATGGACATGCACTACAGGAGAAAAAGAGTAAGTGAATGATTTCAGTGAAATATTTCCCCAGAGATCTGTGGGTGTCAGAAGGAAGAAGAGGGAGCGTTGTACCCAGTTTATCATCCAAATCTGTTGTTCCTTCTGAAGCAGAGTCTGTTCTTTCCCAGCTCAATTTGAGACACTCTGTGTCCCTGTCTTTGGTTGGGAACAGTTAGCATGTGAAATTCCTCAAGGTTAAGATGACGGTTAAGGTAGGATGGATGAAGTGAAATGAGTTTCCATTTTTCATCATCCGACAGGGCTAGTGGTCTGGCTAAGGCGGTATGTGTATAGTGTGTGCATTCTTTCAAATGTTCTCACTTGAGATATTTGCATATATGAGACAGTAAAAGTTACTGCTTCCATTCTGATTGGTTAGTAACACTGTGTAGGAGTACTACACAGTACTAGCTGGGAAATACTACCCGGGAAGCTAGTGGAGCCCCGAGCGTGCCTTGGGGAAGAGATGACACCTACGTTGTTTGTCACTGGACCATTATACACAAATGGCTGAGGTGCTGACTCCAAATCAGCTACTTAGTTTCCCTAAGAAACAGAGTGCCACTGTGTCAGCTGCCAAACAAGAACAAAAAATCGAAAATAGAAAAGTAAATTTATTCTCAAATTAAGTAAGTTGTCTTCAAAACAACCTTGCATGAGCTTAACACTGTAAACAAAGCATGAGGCTTTTCTTCCTTGGAGAAGCTCCAAAGAGCATTGACCTTAGTGTGCAGCTACCTGATTGTGATGTCCCAGAATACACAAAGCTGCGGCTTCCCAGACAATTAAATTTAAATGCAGAAGACATTAATGAAACATTAAAGTATGTAAATCAGTGTGTGATTCATAGTAACACAAATGGTCCTACAGTGAAGTATTTCAGAGTTCATGGTTTCCCTAATCATCTCTTCATGTCTCTTTTGTTTCCTGGCTTCCTAATGCTAAGACATCATACCATTTTTTTTTTCTTTTTTTAAATATCAAGTGCTGAGAGGGTTCCTCGGGAAAAGTGGCATTCTCGGAGGTAAACAGGATCCAGATTGCTTAAGGTTTATTGATTTTATGATCAGTACTTAGGTTGCTGCTAAAAGCAGATAGGTTTCCAATACATATCTGAAACCGTAGGGGCCTTTTCACCTCCATCCATCTTGAGGGGCAGTGAAAACTCGCTTTGCAGGCAATTACTAAGGAAAACTCAAACATCACATGAGGGTCACTCATCTGGGGAATACCAGCTTAAGCTAATATAAAATACTATTATTTAACTTTGATGAAAAAGAAGTCAGAGTGATTATCAAAGGATCAAAGGGGAACTTAAAGCTTTTAGAAGACTGGCAATCTCATCTCCATTACTGGGTTTTGTACTTGTAACATTTGGTTGGGGTTTATTTCTTTACCAGATGGGACTAATGTTAAGCTTGCTTTGATGATATCACCATTTTTGTGGCTCACCACCCATTCTGGATTGGTTAATTAATCCATCACCCAACTGGCGTTGTTCTTGTATAATGCAGTGAAATCTCTTCAACAGGAATTTATAAAATAAGTTGAGAGTACAATAAAACTTGTTAATCCAGAGGCTTCCATTATTAGGAACTTGTGATTACTTGATTTGTGCTTAACTGGAACTTCTCTTTAAAATCTGTGGAAAACAAGAGCCTTGGTAATATACTGTTCTAGAATTTTTACTTTCATGAACTACTGGTATTTGAATGGAAAGAAAGATGCACCCTGGAGAAGGGAGAAGAGACAGCCCACAGTGTTAGGGTTGTTCCTCAGTTTCAGTTGAGAATCTGAAGAGAGAGTGTATCTTGAGGCAGAAGAGCAGAAATAGCCTACGAGGCAGAACGTAAGGAAGGATTTCAAAAGGAATGTCTTCATATCTGCATATTTCGTGGGCAGCAACATGATGTATAGAAAAGCATGTTAGGACAGAACTGAGGAGACTTCAGATTGTGAACTGGAGGGAATATCCAAATGTGAGGTATTATTAGTATTTGGGAAATTAATACGAGGAAGATGAAAAGTATAAGAAGAAAGGTATTTAAAGTCAAATCTGCCATGTCTTGTAAAGGGAATAAAGCTTTAGTAATGTATGACATGTTTTTCTTAAATAATTTTAGGTTTTTCTGTTAACTGATTCATTAAAATAAAAACTGCTGTTTTTGTCCTTAACAGGGCCGGTGGGAGAGTCAACAGGATGTATCGCAAACTGCAGTTTCCAGAGGAATAGCTCCAGTCGCCCCATCCCTCCCTGACTGTCCCCCAAATAACCATTCTCCTGACCCAGGTAAGTTATATTTTCATTTGTCAATCACTGTCATGAAATTTGAGCACCTTTCAGAAATAGTTTAAGTCAGGATTTCCTACCACGTAACTATTGACTACTAGTTAATGTCATCTGATTTTTTCCCTTTTTCGTCTTAACATGAACACATTGAGTTACACTGATTTTTGAATGTGGAATTTATATTGCATCCTTCTGATAAATACCACCTGATCATGATGTGTTATCCTTTATACGTGCTTGAGTCTATTTGCTAATATTTCATAAAGGATTTTTGTGTATATGTACTATGATGAATATCTACTTTCCTTTTCTCATAATAATGTGTTAGGTTTTGGTATCACGATTATGTTGGCCTCATGAAATGACTTGGGAAATATTTCCTTATCATCTTTTTTTCTGGAAGATTTTATGTACTGAGTATTGCTTCTTCCTTAAATGTTTGATAGGATTCACCCGTGACACTATCTGGGCCTGGAATTTTCTCTTTGGGAAACTTATAATTATGACTTTACTTTCTTTAACACAGGGTTATTTAACTTTTTATGTTTCCTTACGAGTCAGTTTTCATAAGTTATGTTTTTCAGGGAATTTTCTGTTTCATCTAAATTTTAACATTTATTTCAGTAAATGTTATAATGTTCCCTATTGCCCTTTTAGTGTTTGTAGGATCTGTTGTGATGTTCCTTCTTTTTATTTTTTTTTATTTTTTTAAGGAAAAAAAAGTTTTTTTAAAGACTTTATTTATTTATCTTAAAGAGAGAGAACACAAGCGAGGGAGAAAGGCAGAGGGAGAGGGAGAAGCAGACTCCTCGCTGAGCAGGGAGCCTGACGTGGGACTCCATCCCAGGACCCTGGGATCATGACTTGAGCGAAAGGCAGATGCTTAACCAGCTGAGCCACCCAGGCGCCCCTTCTTTTTATTTTTGATAATTTTTTTTTCTTCCTGGTTTTCTTGACTACTTTTGAGACATGTTTTAGTTTTCTCAGTCTTCTCCCAGAACCAAATCTGGTCTTACTTTCTTTATTGTTTATTTTCTGTTTCATTGATCTCTATTTCTTTCTGCATTTCACAAATTTTGGAATGTGGTGCTTTCATTTTCATTCCATTCAAAATATTTTCTAATTTCCCTCTGATTTATTCTTTGACCCATGGGTTATTGGAATAGCATGTTAATTCGTTTTCATATGTCTGGGGTGGGTGGGGAACTTCTTTTTATTAACTGATTGCTTATTTAATTTCATCATGATCTGAAAGACTCTTTAATATTTCAGTCTTTTGGAATGTTTTTGAGCCTGTGTTCTATCTTGGTAAACATTCTATGCATGCTTGAAGAGAACCTATTCTGTTTGTGGGCATAGTGTTCCGTATATGTCAATTAGGTCAAGGTGGTTGATAACCTTGTTCAAATCTGTTCTTTAAATATTGTTATACTGATTTTTTTTCTATTTGTTCTATCAATCACTGAGACAGAGGACATTAAATCTCCAAATCTGATCATGAAAATTACTTGTTTTTCCCTTTATCAGATCTGTTTTTGCATCATTCTTTTAGGAACTCTGTTACGTATATATGTGTTTAGGATTGTTATTTTTTCCCGATAAAGCAATATTTCTATCATTATGACTGTCCCTTTGTATTTCTGGAATTTTCTTAACTTTGAAATCTGTCTTACCTGATATTAATATAGCCACATCAACCATCTTTTGCTTATTGTGTGAATGGTGTATCTTTTTCTTAGTCTTTTAAATTTTGGTCTGTATTTGTTCTTTAAATTAAAAGTGATTGTCTCGTAGACAGCATATAGTTAGGTGTAACTTTTTTCTTTTTATCTAGTCTGACAATTTCTGTCTTTTAATTGGCATGTTTAGTTTTTTTACATCTAATATTATTGTTGTTATGTCTTTGAATTGCTGTTGGTTTCCCTTTGGCCTTTCTATTTTTTTCTCCACTGTAACTTCTTTTTTGCTTTCTTTTGGGTAATTGAAAAATATTTTTTAGTATTTAATTTTATTTCCATTTCTAGCTTTTTGGTATTTTTGTATTTATTTATTAAAGTCTTTGCTCAGGGTGCCTGGGTGGCTCAGTCATTAAGCGTCTGCCTTCAGCTCAGGTCATGATCCCAGGGTCCTGGGATCGAGCCCTGCATCGGGCTCCTTGCTCCGTAGGGAGCTTGCTTCTCCCTCTCCCACTCCCCCTGCTTGTGTTTCCTCTCTGGCTGTGTCTCTCTCTGTCAAATAAATAAATAAAATCTTAAAAAAAAAAAAAGGAAAGACAATTATTAAAAAAAAATAAATAAATAAAGTCTTTGCTCAAGGACTGTAGTATGGATTCTTAATTTATCATAGTCTACTTAGAATTAATAATATATCACTTCCCACTGCACAAATATTAGAACCTTGTATAATTCTTTTTGCCTGTTCCCAATCCCCCCTTATTTTGTGTTATTTTTGTTATATCTTTTACAGACATTATGAACACTTTTTACAGTGTTACTCTTTTTTGCTTTATTATTATTATTATTTTTAAAGATTTTATTTATTTATTTGACACAGAGAGAAAGAGAGAGATCACAAGTTGGTGGCGGGGAGGTGGGCAGAGGCAGAGGGAGAAGCAGGCTCCTGGCCGAGCAGGGAGCCTGATGCGGGGCTCGATCCTAGATCCTGAGATCATGGCCTGAGCCGAAGGCAGACACTTAACGGACTGAGCCACCCAGGTGCCCCACTCTTTTTGCTTTAAAACAGCTACTATCTTTTAAGGAAATTGGGACTATAGATAATCTTTTATATTTTTCTTCATATTAATTATTTCTGGCACTAGCCAGTCCTTCCTAAAGTCTTATATTTATGTGATATCATTTTTCTTTAGCCCAAAGGATATTCTGTAGTATTAGTTATTTTGCAGTTGTCTTAGAAAAGAGTGCTTTCCCCTTTTGGGATTATCTTTATTTCACTTTTTTTGGAAAGATTTTTCCACTAGCAGCGCTTCAAAGATCTTATGTTATCTTTTAGATTCCTTTTATGCTGAGAATCAGTCATCATTTGTGTCTCTTTTCCCTACATGTAATATGTGTCTGTTTACTCTGTTACCTGGTTTGCTTTCATAGCTTTCTCTATTTTTGTTGGACTATGATATTCTTAGGTATAGTTTTCTTTGCACTTATCTTGCTTGCATTTCATTGATGTTCTTGGATCTGTAAGTTAAGTTTTCAACAAATTTAGGAAATGTTCAGTTATTATTTCATTAAATTATTCCCCCTGGCCATTCCTCTCTTTCTCCTCTTCTGAGAATCAAATTACACACATGTTAGATTGCTTAATATTACCATACAGGTCACAGAAGCTCTGATTTTTTTAAATTTTTATTTTTCATCTTTTTATCTTGTTTCTTCAGGTTGCATAATTTCTCCTGCCATTTCCAACCTTCTGTTAAGCACATCCAGAGAATATTTTATTTCAGTTATTCTTCTTTTCAGTTCTAGAATTTCTGCTTGCTGCTTCTTTTAAAGTTTTAATTTCTCTGCTGATATTCTCTACCTGTACATTTGTTAAGATCAGATTCTTCTTTACTTCCTTGGACCTGTGTATAAAAGCTGCTTTAAAGTCTTTATCTGCTAAATCCAGCATCTGGGCCATGTCATGGTCTATTTCTCTTGACTGCTTTTTTTCTTGACTATGGGTCATAGTTAATGAGTTTTGACCATTGTATTTACCCGTGTAACTTATATCCCAGTCAAGATACACAATATTTATATGACTCCAGTTACTCTCCACAATCAGCCAATGTTCTGAGTTCTATCCTTTCAGATTAGTATTGCCTGTTCTACAATTTCATACAAATGGAATCATACAGTATATACTCTCTTTATGTTTGGCTTCTTTTATTTATCATTTCTGTTTACATCTCCATACCATTGCATCTTTCAGTTTGAGGGAGGGGTGGGAGGTAGAATAAATGAAAGCGTAGTTTTGTGTATTTACCTCAGAAGACACATCATGTCTGATTGTCTCTCTTTTTTTTTTTTGATTGTCTCTCTTTATGATATATGCAGCCTTTGATAGATTATTGGCTAGATCTTTATTTAACTAGGGGTCGTCCTCAGTGTAGAATTAATTTGTTGTATATAGAACTCTAGATTGTCCTTTTTTTTTTTTCCCCCCTAGCATTTCGATGATTATGTTTTTCTGGCTGTTTATTCATATCAAACTTATTTCTGTTTGTTTGTTTTGTTTTCTTTTTCCTACTTTTGCCTTGTAAATCAATTGACTTTTTTGAACTCAGTTTTAACATACCTCTTAGCATTTATAGTTATCTCTTTGCTTTATCTTTTTAATGATTGCTCTCATGATTATAAAAATCCTTACCTTTTCACAGTATACTTAGAGTTAATATTATACTACTTTATGTAAAATGTACAAGCCTTGGAACTGTGTGGGTCCATGTACCAACTGTATTACCGATGAACTTGGAGTCATTTCAGGGGTCAGTGTGGGGCAGAGGCACGCGGGTGGTTGTGTGTTTCTGTTCAGGCAATACCACACACAAATTCTCAGGTTGACTTGCTTATTCTTTTTAAAGTGTTATGTGGATACAGTGTTTTATCATTTATGAGTTAGATTACATTTCCCTAGAAATTTAGATTTATTCACTAAAAGGAAAGAAATCTTATGTCATAGGCATTGTCTGCATGTCTGATCCCAGCCTTTGGTAATTTAGAACAGGTTGGTTCAGGGCATCAATTCCTTTCTTGTGAAAACAACCCAAACATCACCCTTTTTCTAAAAGGCCCATTTCATCATCCTTATTCACTAAGTAGATATGAAAAACTAAAGTTGTAGAAGACATAGTCCCTAACTTCAAAGAGTTTAAAGTCTAGATAGAGAGCTATACATGTGTGTCATTAGCTATGTGATTTAAAAATGAAAAACCCTATCTTATTTTAAGACAGAAGTTAGTATGTGAACCCATTAGTGACGAGGACTGGGGTTGGATTACCCTCTGATACTAATAGGAACATTGGCTATTGGAATGTTTTAGAAATACCCTAATTGCTGTTATTTAATTGGAAAAAGGAAACAACATTGTGTTTGAGGGCAGCTATGATAATACTATGTTTTTCTAACATTTTTTAAGGGTACTTTTTAAGAATTTATATTATTAGATTCACTACAAATGAAATTTGGCAAATTTATGGGAGAGAAAAATGTCTACATTGTTGTTTCCATTTGATCTCTTTTCCTTTCAATATTGTTGACAGGACTTAGTAGCCTTGCGGCCTCATACTTGAATCCAGTAAAATCCTTTGTGCCACAGATGCCAAAGCTCTTGAAGTCTCTTTTCCCTGTCCGCGATGAGAAAAGAGGCAAACAGCCTTCTCCCCTCGCACATCAGGTAAGAGCATCAGGAAAGCAACAGTGAACAGTTTCTAATATCTGGCAGAATGATGCTGTGTTGCACTGACACTGGAGGGAGGGGGGTAGCAGGGGTGGGGGGGGGGGCCTTGGAAGTGGGCTTTTAGGCCCACTAAAAGCTTGTGATCATTTCTCCTCCACCCTCTTCAGAGGTAACAGAGCTGTTGAAACTTATTGACGGTCTCAATCCTTTTTGCTTTTAAAAAATGCCGAGTACACTGCTAATGTGATTTATGGTAATATTACTTAGAGCAACAATAGTAAAATTTATGAAGTGCACTTAGCGTTGTTTGTGTATTGCCAAACAGAAAATGTAATTCTATTTTTAATTCTTGATTTCATTTCTTATTTCAAACAATTTTATATCATCACTGTCCTTCCCTCTCCACCGCTTTTTCCTCTGCTGTGGTTTATCTGTTCCTTCATTTAAAATATTAAATGTGATCACTTGTTTTATTTCCCCCTTTTCTTGAAACTCTCTGCCCAGCCTTCAAATAAGTTTTTAGAGAAAATCTTAAAGGGTTTTCCACATAATCAGGAAACTGCTTATATGCACTGGTGAATGGGAAGCCTCTTGGAAATGTAATTTCCAGCCTTATGTAGGTGTGAATTCAGCAGAAAATGATAAATGAGGATTTATTTATACTCCTTAAAAAACACATACAGTGCAAGTTCAGTTGTTGAAATAGGTCTTTTGACATCAGCTTATCCACATTCACTGAAAACATTCAAGTTGCAGAAATGCAGGTGAGTCCTTGTCCGAGACCTTAACTATTTAAAAGATTTTCTGAGTTTATGAATGCATATTCAAGGGTGGTGGTATTAGTTTTGTAAGGCTGCTCTACAGATATATAATATTTTAAATCTAGCGTTGTATAAGCATGTACTTAAGCAGACATGGACACATACTGTATGAAAAAAATAAAGATCACAATTTTGGATGTTTGAACTAAATTTAAGCACATAAGGGGTGCTTGGCAGTTACCAAAGAATCTAGGACCACGAGAGCTACAAGAAATAGGAAGTCTAATACTTGGTCAGGGCCTAGGCAAAAATGATTTTTCCAAGGATTTGCTGTTGCATATGTTATTCTGTCCTAAACTTACACGTCATTATTTTGTCATGTATGACGCATGGACTCTCTGTCAGAGTTTCCATGGTAGCTTTTTAAGAAGGTAACTTTAAAAACAACAAAAACAGCCTGACCTCCTAACCCAGACCCCATCTGGGGGTGCCTTTACAACCTGTGTTGATAAGCACCCAAGGTGATTTTATCAAAACGTATAGTTGGATAACCACCCTTTTTCAGTCACTATTTGGTGAAGACAGAGTTCTAGAAGTTAAAGGAAATTGGCATGGCATTAGAAGTTACTGAATCAGACTGCTATAGTTAGAGTTAGTTTTTAAAAACTACTTTGAGTTTCTGATATGGCCAGTCAGATCACCTGCTACAATAAATTGTTTTTACTGTTTTGCTGGTAAATGACTGGTTCTTCTGAATATGAGAGGAATAATCATGTGTTTGAAAGAAATGTAGTGATGGCAGATAACTGCCTTTTGTAATGTCCAGTTTAAGAAAGGCGATCTTGCGATATTTTGAAGATCTTTTGTACAATATTTGCCCATTCGGTTTACTTCTTTTGAGCATTTTGGAGAAAGTGGCCCCAGATAGTTCATATTTCATGAATAAATGAAAATATAAATACAAAGCTTGTCTTAATGAAGATGCCCAGTGGTGGAGCTAAATGGTCCAGTTGGTTTGTGAAACCCCTACTCCACCGAAGGGCCTTCCCTGAAGGTCACCAGGGAACTGCATCTTGCCTGCATACCCATTCCAGGGTCCTCTTCTGACTTGACATCATACTTCAAACACTTTCATCTCTAGGCTTCAGTGTGGCGACATTTGCATGGTTTCTCTCCTGCTGACCGCTCAGTCTTTCTCAGTTGCCTTTTCTGGGACTGTTTATTCCATCAGGTTGCTAACATTCAGGTGCCCCAGAGCTCCATCCTGGGCCTTCTCTCCATGGGTCATCTCATTCGGTTCCATGGTTTTAACTATTTCTGCATTGACAATGTTCATATTTCTATCTCTAGCCCAGACTTTGCCCCTGAGCTCTGGCCTCATGGAGCTAAATGCCCATTAAGCTTTTCTACTTGTAAATCAATTAGGCATTCACATTTTACCAGTCCAGAACATTACTGCTCATAAGTCTGTTTACCCCCAACACACAAAATACTTAAAAATACATGCCCATCAGGCGCCTGGGTGGCTCAGTCAGTTAGGCATCTGCCTTCAGCTCAGATCATGATCTCAGAGTCCTGGGATCTAGTCCCGCATCCGGCTCCCTGCTCAGCAGGGAGTCTGCTTCTTCCTTTCCCTTTGCCCCTCCCCCTGCTTGTGCTCTCTCTGTCTCTCTGTCTCTCTCTCTCAAATAAATAAATAAAATATTTTAAAATAATACATGCCCATCTCAGCATGTAGCACAAATATCCACCCAGTTGCTCATACCTCACAAAGAGTCCACCAGTAAGATTTCATAGGTACTACTTATAATCTGGTGACTCCTGGTCATCTACATTTCTCATCATTCATTCTTGCCACCCTGGTCTCTTGCCCAGATGATTACAGCAGCCTACATACAGGTCTGTCTGACACTTTTTGCCTCATGAAAGTCTTTTATTCATGAAGTAGCCAAAGTGACCTTCCAGAGTCTTACTTTAGTTCATGGCTTGAAATCCTCACTGCTTCTCATTGAATAAAATCTAAATTCCTTACTGTGCCTTACAGTGTCCTATATGATCTGGACCCCTGACCTTTAATCTTTATGCCTTTTATTTCATCTTCGTTCACCATACGAAGCCATGTTGGCCTTTTCCTTCCTTCCTTCCTTAGTTCCTTCCTTCCTTATTTGAGAGAGATCGTGAGAGAGCACACTAGGAGGGGGCAGGGAGGGGCAGAGGGAGAAGGAGAGGCAGGCTCCCCACTGAGCGGGGGGAGCCTGATGCGGGACACTTGCTCTTGATTCCAGGATTCTGGGATCATGACCTGAGCCGAAGGCAAACGCTCAACTTGACTGAGCCACCCAGGCACCCCTCTTTCATTCTTATCTCACGAACACATGAAGTTCATTTTGGTGTCAAGAATTTTTTGCATTTGCTTTCCTTCTACTTGGAATACTCTTTTATAAAGTCTTTGCATGGCTACCCAGGTCTCTAGTAGAGTGGTCTGCTATTTAGAATGGTCAAGATAGGCCAGTCTAAGGAAGTACCGTTTGCGTATAGAGTGGCCTTAACCAATTAAATTAAAACAACAGCTTCCACCACATCAATACTATTCCCATATTTTTTTAATCTTTTCATTGGATGTTATTGTTGTGTTTATATGTTTATTGATTAGCTCCTCTCTAGAATGTAATCCTTGAGGGCAGGGGCATAGCTGATACGAAATGTGTATTGGTTGACCATTGACATATATTCAGATTATACTATTAGGTAGTTTTTCTGTTATCAGTGTCACCCAGTGGTATAAAACACTGTGTTTATAGTTTACAGGTGAGAGAATCAGATCTGAGTGGGGACTTGCGATATCAAGACATAATTATGAACTTTCTTTCCTAGATTGATGCAAGTTCCACTAAAGAACTATTCCTAAATGGGGGGACAACTTAAGCTTATCATTAGGATTTAGTTGGTCAAAGACTCTTGTGTTCATCTCATTTTTATTGACTATCTCTGGTAAAGCTTTAAGAGCAGTAAATTATAATTTTAAATGACATTGTCAACTAGAGGTTCCCTTACTAGGGCCACTTTAAATATGCTTTAAGTTGTTGCCATCTGAATGGTGTTTCATAGGAGCACTGTAATGCCAATGGGATTTCAGAATAACAGCAATAAGAACAATGCTGTATTCGTTAGGTTTTTTTTTTTAGTACCCCCAACTTTTAAATTTTTATTTATTTATTTATTTTTTAAGATTTTATTTATTTATTTGATAGAGAGAGACACAGCGAGAGAGGGAACACAAGCAGGGGGAGTGGAAGGGGGAGAGGCAGGCTTCCCGCGAAGCAGGGAGCCCAATGTGGGGCTCGATCCCAGGACCCTGGGATCATGACCTGAGCCGAAGGCAGATGCTGAACGACTGAGCCACCCAGGTGCCCTGCCCTCAATTTTTTTATTTTATTTTATTTTATTTTATTTTATTTATTTTTTTTTTTTAAAGATTGTATTTATTTGACAGAGAGAGATAGCGAGAGCAGGAACACAAGCAGGGGGAGTGGGAGAGGGAGAAGCAGGCTTCCCGAGGAGCAGGGAGCCCGATGTGGGACTCGATCCCAGGACCCTGGGATCATGACCTGAGCCGAAGGCAGACGCTTAACGACTGAACCACCCAGGCGCCCCCCCCCCAATTTTTTTAAAATAGTAGTCTTTACTATAATGCCATCTGATTCACTTGGAAATCAGATTTGATACCTAAAGTTGAGGATCTTACTTTTTTTAATGATTTGCCCTGCCCCTCCTTATGGAACCTCCAAGTCCTCCAGGAAAAAGATCAGTTTATTTCCAACCAGTCTTTGCCTCAGAGTTTCCTCTGCTCTTACCCAGGAGTTAGAGGGAGGGGAAGAGGAGGTTTTCTCCAGACTTAACAGCTATAGATTTAGCACACTGTATCTCAGATAATGAGTGCTTCATCATTCTTCAGTTGTCTTGCCCAGGTCTTGCTTCGAGTGGGGAGCCCAGAAGTATTTTTAAGCCCGTGCTTGAAAATGGTACAATTATCCTCTCCCTCTTCTAAATGACGTACTTCTACCAAAGTAGCATATGATTGGACTTTTTTTTAAAGGCCAGTATTAGCTTGTTGTGCCTCTGGTCAGTTAGCATTCCCTTTTGTGTTTGCTTGTTTATTTGCTTGTTTATTTGTTTACACTCTTGGCAATGCATTTCTTCTCTTTTATTATTATGTTGTCTAACTGATGTGTAAAA